CAAAGAGAGAGAGACCGTCTGCCCTGTCGCACTGTAAATACAACTGCAGGTCGTCGACCCAGACCTCAAAATCAATGGCGCGACCCTCAGCGTCAAAAGCGAGGACACTAGGGGTAGCCATGACAACAGTAGACTAGCAGTACCAACTGTAGGACAGGGGCAGTGCAGTGACAGAAGCGCTGTTCTCACCAGACAGGGCGTTGCGGGCAGCTGAGCAGCACATAAAAAAACGGCAACAATGCTGCTCGGACCGCTCAGCAGCAACTGCGGCTCGGCGGTACCATCGGCTCGGCTCCTCGGGCGGCTCGGGCGGCTTGGGCGGCTCGGGCGGCTCGGGCGGCTCGGGCGGCTCGGGCGGCTCGGCTCCTCAGCGACTCGGGCGGTTCGGGCGGCTCGGTTCCTCAGCGGCTCGGGCGGCTCGGGCGGCTCAGTAGGGTCGGGCAGCTCGGGCAGCTCAGGCGGCTCGGGCTGCTCGGCTCCTCAGCGGCTCAGGCGGCTCCTCAGGCGGCTCGGCTCCTCAGCGGCCAGGCGGCTGGGGCGGCTCGGGCGGAGCGGGAGGTGAAGGGCGGCGGGGCCGCAAGGTAGGTGGCGGGGCCGCAGTAGGAGTGGCGGCGGGTCCGCAGAGAAGGGCGGCGGGGCCGCAGCGAGAGAGGTGGCGGGGCCGCGACGAACGGCGGCGGGGCCGCAGTGGGAGAGGCGGCGGGGCCGCAGTGAAGGGCGGCGGAGCCGCTGAGAAGGGCGGCGGGGCCGCTGCGAGAGAGGCGGCGGGGCCGCAACGAAGGGCGGCGGGGCCGTAGTGTGAGGCGCCGAGGCTGCAGTGATGGGCGGCGAGGCCGCTGAGAAGGGCGGCGGGGCCGCAGCGATAGAGGCGGCGGGGCCGAATCGAAGGGCGGCGGGGCCATCAGGGCGGCGGGGCCTAATCGACGGGCGGCGAGGCTGTTAGGGCGGCGGGGCCTAAACGACGGGCGGCGGGGCCTAATCGACGGGCGGCGGGGCCACTAGGGCGATGGGTCCGCTAGGGCGTAGGGGCCGCTAGGGCGGCTCGACGAAGTGAGAGCCCGGAGCGCGACTCAGGCTGAGCGCGCTTCGGGCAGGAAAAAAAAACTCGATGTGGTGGGCCCTAGGCACAGTTCCCAGGGGGGAACCTGCTCTATACCATGTGGAAAGTAGAACGAGAATGAATGACTATGGAATGGAAGTGATACAAATATGCGACCCTAGAAATGTGTACCCCATATGAGCTACCCCACTATAGCCTACACAAGATTATAATTTGACACGGGGTAGGTGACGAGGCCGCAGGGCGGCGAATCGGGGCCGGGAAGGGCGGCGCGAGGGCCGCGGGGTAGGCGACGGGGTCGCAGGGCGGCGGTTCGGGGCCAGGAAGGGCGGCGCGAGGGCCGCGGGGTACGCGACGGGGCCGCTAGGGCGGCGGATCGGGGCCGTCAAGGGCGGCACCGGGGCCGCAGGGGTAGGCGACGGGTCGCTAGGGCAGCGGATCGGGGCCGCAAGGGCGGCGCAACGGGGTCGAGAAAGGGGAGCGCGACTCGGGCAAGAGCTGAGCGCGCTCCAGGCAAGAAAAAAAAAACGAATCGGTGGGCCCTAGGAACAGTTCCCACGAGGGAACCTGCTCTGATACCATGAGAAAACTGAAACGAGAATGAATGAACTACGAAACAGTTGGGTACATGTACTAACCCTAATTGGGTTGTACCCCTTATGGGCTACCCCACTACAGCCTACACAAAAGCATAAGCTATAATGTTCTGACAGGTGCTTCTCGCGTAGGTCGATAGTGAGGTCGGTGGGGTCAAGTGCTAGGAGGAGGTCTTTGAATGCAGTAAGAGAGTCTGGAAAGCGGGTGACTATGAAGTAGAGCGTGATATACATGGGGGGGGGGGGTGTTCTTGGTGAGAAACTCGGCGGGGAGCGCAGCACGGTAGCGAGTGTCACTAGTGCGGAGGTGAGTGACTAGGTTGGCTACTGTGGCAAAGGCGGACAGGTCTGGGAATAGGTAGGGCAGGAGAAGGCGGCCTAGAGCAGCAGTGGCCGGGGAGGAGTAACGAGTGACTACAGCGTCGTACTGTGCTTTAGCTGTCTTATGCTGGCCAAAGTGGGCGCGTTCGGCTAACGGCAGGTGGTTGCGAACGGCTAGGCGAGCAGCAGCGTCACGGGTAAGCCACTGTCAGCGGGTCGCACTGTCAGCTGTGGCGTCAGGGGCGGGCGAGGCGCCAAAAGCGAGGTCAAACAGCAAAGTACCTGTCAGAATGTGATGCTTGTGTAGCTTGCAGTGGGGTACTCTATAGCGAGTACAGCCCGAATCAGGGTTTGCTATATGTACTGAACTGCATGCTAGTGAAAACTCCTCTTTTCTGTTTCTCATTCCTGCCACTTGATTCGACATGGTATCAGAGCAGGTCGACCCTCCTGGGTCGATCCTGTGGGTGGGCCCCACCCGATGCTTCCGCTGCTCTATTCCCTGTAGCGCGCCCCGGGCGCGCACCGTTTTTCTTCCTGCAGTGCGCTCGGAGCGCGCAGCATTTTTCTTCCCGCCGCGCGCATGCCCTGCCCGCCGCGCGCCCGGGGAGCGTGCCGCGGTTTCCTGCCCCGATGACCCGCGCGTCGCCCCCCGTCGCCCGACGCAGCCCGCGCGACCTGCGCCAGGCCCGCGCGCGGCCCGTACGGGCTGCGCCAGGCCCGCGCGCGACCCGTATGGGCTGCGCCAGGCCCGCGCGCGGCCCGTACGGGCTGCACCAGGCCTGCGCGCGGCCCAGGCAGCCCGCGCGCGGTTTGTCCCTAGCTTCTGACTGCGCCCCACCCCTGATGCTGCCCGCGCTCCTGTGTTAGGGTTTGGGGGTGGAGAGTATGGGGGTGCCTGGTATGTGAGCCGTCCCCTGCTCCTCCTCCTCCTCCGTCTCCCAGTGCTGCACCTGCCGCTGAGGGGGGTGGATGTATTGGAGCCGTCGGAGTGGTACGAGGGGGGTGGCGTGTGAGTAGTGCTAGAGGTGCAGCAGGGAGTGTGTGAAAGGGGTGTGGGACAGTTGGGGGAGGTTGACCGGAGGTATCCGACTTGTCGTCCGCAGCGCCTGAAGTCCAGAGAGCCACGACCCCCTGTAGCCTGAGTAGTCCGGGGCTCTGCGCCCGGTAGCCACGGTGTGAGCACTGACCGTGGGTTGATTTCAGGGCCTCAGATTCGTTTTGGCCTAGGCTGAATCGTCAGCCTTGGGAGTGGGATGAAGGCTGATCAATCAGGGTAGCCTTGAAAAAAAAAGCTGAAATTTCAGTGCTTAGTTTCAAAAATTGGCTGATCATTCAGCCTTGCTTAAAAACAAAGGCTGAACACAACTTCAAGCTTTCCTATAGCGCAACACGCGACGTGCTGCCAACAGTGCACACGACGTGCCTACACAACTTCACACACGAAAATACAGTACCTTCTATTGGCAACAACATGGGCGAATCCGAGCTAATTTCCAGTGATTGGGCGAATTTCTGGAAGAACGTGTTGTGTCAGAGCAAAAATTCTTGTGATTGGGCGAAATTGTTGTGGCTCTGACGGGGCGAATCTGTTCTGTAGGGGCAAATTTGCTGTCTCGGGGCGAATCTGTAGTGACGAGTCAAGCTGAAAGACTTGGTGCCATCTGATTGGCCAGGCAGGTTTTTGATTCTCGGCACTACACGAATCTCCACTAGTGGGATTTCAGCCCACACACCCGTTACAACGCTGATCAGTCAGTGTACACCTCTAAAAAAACTCTGAAATTTCAGACCATACAATGAAAAAAATGCTGAAAAATCAGCCGGTACAATGAAAAAAAAGCTGACAAATCAGCCCCACTTTCTTCCCAGCACTGAAATCTCAGCCTTTTTACCCCTAATCAGCCTTTTTTCGCTGACTTCTGAGGCCCTGGTTGATTTTGACGGAAATCCAGTCTCCTTCGTCTGCGACCTGCACGAGCGTAACCTTTATGGGCAAGAAATTGAGGGCGATGTGACTGCCTTCTACGAACTATCGCTGAACTTCGTGCGCGCAGTCGGCAAGGAGCTGGAGTGGCGGTATCGAGACTTAGCGAACCTGGAAGGCCCGAAGCTGTTTGATAGAACTTCATACCTTCCAGACGATGACAAGCACCCGGCTGCCTTCAAACGATGGCTGCAACAACTCCACAAGCTCTACCACGATGTCAGCGTTCGCTGTATTGGACAGTCAATGTAACATAGATTTCACCCTGCAAATCAGTCTTTGAAAAAAGTTACACTAACGCTATCAGGCTAGAAAAAAAATACATCGTATTTGTCAGCCTAGCAGAAAAATTACCCTAGGGAGTCAGGGTGAGACGGGGTTCAACTCTGGTTAGACAGGGTGGGCCTAGACCAATTTTGGGCGCTGGGCAGAAGCTAATGGCCTGGGAAAGAACCGTGAATACCAAGTGTTATGAATAAGTGGGTTTCGAACGAGATGAAATGCACCCAAAGTCGAAACTACAGAATGTTGTATGAAATGCCTAAAACGAGGGGAGAGTAGGCACGAACGAGCTAGGCGAGGACCTCGGGCTAGACGAGGCTCGGAAATGTGGCAAAAGGTGCGGTGGCGCCTCGGAAGTGGTTCGGGGCGAAATTGTAGGCCGAGCCCCAGTGAGGCGAGACCCTCGGAATGTCCCTGATAATGTGAGCCTACACTAATGAATTATGCTCCATTACAACAACCATTGAATAACTAACTCTTCCAACCAAACCAGGAATCCCTCACCAGTCGGCCCTGTCGTACCCTCAATGCAAGGCTCGCATTCACAACGTAAGTAAATAGACTAGGTAGGATACTACTTGGTGACGCAGCCCCTACACACTGGAGGGCTGCTACACACTTTAGGGTTTCCGTACCTGCGGCAATAGTCGCGCACCTAGTTCTCACCAGCATTACGCAATCTCATAACATCCGCAGCGCTCTCATTTCCGTCATGGCTTTCGCGATCCTGCCGCGGCGAATATCGACGACGACCATGGTGCTTTTCGTCGTCGTCGTGAGTAACATCTTCATCTGCTTCGTGTTGCTCGACGAAGCGCCCTCCGTGCCGCTGCTCTCCCGCGCGGGGAAAGGCGGCGGCGGCGGCCTAGGCAGCGGGGGTCGCGGGAGGGAGAGGGGGGGAAGCGGTGGCGAGGGGAGGAGGCATCCGCGGGTAGCCGCGCACAAGCTCACTCCGGCGGAGATTGAAATGCTGGAGATGCGGAAACAAAAGTGAGTGGTGGCCTATTGAGTCAACGAGACCTGTGAGTCGACTGATTGACACGAGTGGCGCATAAGCTGCTCTCCGGGCGAGCTCGAGACGCGGATACGGAAGCGAGTGGCGTGGTGGGCGGGCCGCGCTAAACGTATCCGTCAGGGAGTTGATATAGTGTAGCGCACACAATGGAACACCTCTCACATGAGTGTGGCTTGCATGTCATTGCACTGACTGCAGCTCACGTCTGTGCCCTGTGTGCCTGTGCACACACAGCAATGTACCTCTCCCAAATCTCTGCCTTTTGCCTGCCTGTGCATGCACGCACACGTGCATTTCATGGCTTTCCCCCTCCCACCTTCGACGGCAGCAGCAGCAAGGAAAGGAGAGATTCATTCAGTTCAGCGCCTACCGCATCACGCCCCTCCTTGTCCTCTGAGCTATACCTGTCCTGTGCATGCTTCCATCTCTGATTTGTCCGTGTGCCTGTGCTTTCCCCCTCGCAGTTTTGATGGCAGCAGCAGCAAGGAGGGCTTCATCCAGTTCAGCGCGTACCGCATCACCCCTCTCCGCGTGGTCGCCATGGGCCTCATGCCGCTCACACACCATGACGTCATCACTGCCCAGCACTGCTGGTGAGGCCAGGCATGCCGCGTGCATACATGTATGTAATTTTTGTGTTTTTGAGACGTCTCAAAAAACCCTCATTTGACATGCCGTGTGCATACATGCATGTTTCTTTTGTGGTTCCGAGCTCATTGTATGATTCTCAAGAGCACCGTGACGTCATCCCTGTTCTGCATTGCTCGTGTGTGTGAATGTGCGTGCGTGAGTGGGAGTGTGTGGAAAGTGCGTCTGTGAGTATGTGTGCATGAGTGTGTGTGTGTGTGTGTGTGTCCATGAGTGTGTGTGTGTGTATGTGTGCATGTGTGTGTGTGTGTGTGTGTGTGTGTGTGCATGCGTGGAAATCAGAGCAATGCATCACGAAAGTGTGTCCAAACATGTGCACATTTGTAACCTTGGCCCCTTACCCCCCTCCTCTCCATCCCCTCCCTTCTCTCACCCTTTTTTTTCCTTCTCTTACGCCTCCTCCTCCTCCTCCTCCTCCTCCTCCTCCTCCTCCTCCTCCTCCTCCTCCTCCTCCTCCTCCTCCTCCTCCTCCTCCTCCCCCCCCTCCTCCTCCTCCTCCTCCTCTCTCCCCCCACTTCCACCCCCTTTTTTTCCCTCCTCCCTTCTTTTCCCCCTCGCCCTCCCCTCCTCCACAGGTGGGAGTCAGCCAATGGGCAGTGGACAGATGGCGCCATCTCAGTGAAGTTCCCCGGGGAGCACCATGCACGCGCGTACGAGTGCGTGCTTCTATACTGCGACCTGCAGCGACCTGTCAGCTCTATGTGAGTTCAGTAGATCTGCCTCCCCCCTCACTGAGGGGCCCTCAGTGCCATGCCATGCCAACCGCATTGCCAAGGGAAGCACCTCACGTACACGCCCACAAGAGTGTTCTGCCTTTCTGCAACCTGCAGCGACCAGTGAGAGCTCCGTGTGTGTGAGTTGGGTTGCACTGCTTGCAGGGACTACACCAGCAAATACTACTGCTTGGGTTGCACTGCTTGCATTGACGATCCACTCAATATAGGTGCCTGCAGCCTGAGTTGGTTTGTGTTGTCTACTCCTGTGTGTGTGGACGATCCAGTCAATATAGGTGTGTGTATTCCCTCTTCCTCGCCTCAATCAACCTTTTCCTCGTCAGGGTGGGCGGCACACTCAAGATGGCGGTGGACCAGCAGGACCTGGTCGTTTACAAGGAGAGCCCCGGCACGCCCGAGCCTCCGCCGGAGGTTCGGGAGGACGTGCGGGTGTTTGAGCGCAACCTGACGTACTGCTCCGCGCCCATGTTTGGGGTGATTGACACGCAGCGGCTGCTGGAGTGGATCGAGTTTCATAGAACGGTTCACGGTGTTGATGTGAGTAAGCATAAGCGCACATGGTGACACATGGCATGGCATGATATGACATGCATAGTGTGCGTTGCACATGAGCAGCAGATATCCGTGATTGATCGCGTGACTCGCAGCGGCTGCTGGAGTGGGATTGAATTCCACCGATCAGTTCACGGTGTGGATGTGAGTGAGCATGTGTGTGCATGGCGTGGCATGGCATGGCGTGGCATGATAGAATTCAAGAGTATGATTGGTAATGAGCCAACAAGGCTCTATAATACAAGCATGCAAGGAAGAGAAGGTTGGAGGAGGAGCTAACCCTATTGGCCACTAAGTTGGCCAATGGGTGAGGTGCCTTGTGGAGTAGGCAACCTCACAGTGTGGCTAGGTTGGGATTGGTTGGTCTAAGGACCAAAAGTTGGCAAGTGCCAACCAAGGGCCAAGACCAAATCTAATCTTGACCAACCACAAAGTGTGGTTGGAGTGTACACCCAACCCCCCAAGAAACTGAAGGACTACACCTATTCTAGCCTATAAATGTTGTATATAGTGGACAATTACAACACAACCCCCCAACATGCATAAGGCTAGAACATGTAATCAGGAGGCTGTCACAACCGGAGGAGGGGTGAGGCCAGCCAAAGAGACGCAGAAGGAAGGAGTGAGATGCTTGGGGAAGAGCTTTAGTGAAGATGTCAGCGAGGTTGGCCGCCGAGTCGATCTTGCCAAGGCGAAGGTGCCTGGCCTCGACGAGATCACGAATGAAGAAGTAGCGAAGTTCAATGTGTTTGGAACGCCCATGATACACAACATCCTTAGTGAGGTGAATGGTCCCGGCATTGTCACACCAGATTGTGGGACAGCGCTGGGGTGCACCAAGCTCATCGAGGAGGAAGGTGAGCTAGCGCGCCTCCTGCGCATCCATGGTTGCAGCGTACAGCTCTGCTTCGCAGGAGGAGAGGGCGACGGCAGAGGAGCGTGTGGACCGCCAGCTGATGTGACCGCTGCCCAGAGAGAAGCCATATCCCTGAGAGGACCGCCTGTCCGGGCGAGAGTCAGCCCAGGAAGAATCACTGTAGCCATTGAGGAGGGGTTGGGAGGGGCCGCCAAGGGTAAGGACATAGTCCTTTGTGCCATGAATGTAGCGAAGGACGCGTTTGGCGGCCTGCCAGTGGTCCTCTGTGTGCTTGCCAGTGCCAACGAAGCGAGCGAGGACGCTGATGGAGTAGGCAAGGTCAGGGCGAGTTGAAACCATGGCGTACATGAGAGAGCCGATGAGTTCAGGATAAGGATGGGAGGAGGCAGAGGGTGAGGAGGGTGGGGAGAGGTGGTGCCCAACTGAGAGTGGAGTGGGCTGGGGGCTACTGCGCGCCATTTCAAACCGGTCCAAGACTTGCTGGAGATAGTGACCGTGAGAGAGGGAGATGGTGCGGGCGGAGCGGTCGCGAGTGATGGTCATGCCGAGGTAGTGTTGCAGCTCTCCCATGTCTTTGCACTTGAGCCGGGTGCCCAGCTCGGCCTTGACTTTCTCGAGCTCGGCAAGATCGGCAGTGAGGAGAATCATATCGTCAACATAGACGAGGATGTAGAAGGGGGAGGGGGAGGTGCGGAGGAAGAGGCTGACGTCAGAGCGGGAGGTGTGAAACCCAAGCTCGGCAAGGGTGGCAGCAAGCTTGGCATGCCATTCCCGGGGTGCCTGGCGGAGCCCGTACTCTGGTCGGCGCAGCTGCCAGACGGAGTCGGCGGGGAAGGGGAGGTGGAAGCCCGCTGGGCGCTCCATGTAGATCAATTCGCGTAGCACGCCTTGTAGGAAGGCGTTGGAGACATCCATCGAGTGGATCTCCATGTTGAGGCGAGCGGCGAGGTCGATTACGGCGCGAATGGTAGCAGGTTTGGCGGTGGGGGAGAAGGTGTCGAAGAAGTCAAAGCCATACCGCTGCGTGAAGCCCTTGGCGCAATACCCGGCCTTGTAGATGGGCGGCTCTCCTGGTAGCTGTTTGACACGAAACACCCACTTCCCCTTTACCACGTTCGTAGAGGAGGGAGGGCGAGGCACATTAACGAAGGAGGAGTTGGCAATAAATGCCTCGAGCTCCTTGATGATGGCAGCGAGCCAGAGCGGTGCGTCGGGACAAGCCATGGCTTCCTCATACGTGGTTGGGATGAAGGTGGAGGGAGCAGAGGAAAAGGCGAAGACTGGTGTTCCAGAGAGGTCAAAGGTGAGAGAGCGGTCAAGGAACTCCTCATGGGAATCCTCGGAGAGGGAGGTGTGGAAGGCGCGGATGACCGCGGGTGCCGCTGCTGGTGCTGCTGCTGGTGCCGCTGCTGGTGCCGTTGCTGGTGCCGCTGCTGGTGCCGCTGCTGGTGCTGGTGCGGATGCCGCTGCTGGTGCCGCTGCCGATGCCGCTGCACTCGCCGCTGATGGTGCCGCTGCTAGTGCCGCTGCGGTGGCTGCTGCTGGAGCTGTTGCTGCTGCAGCTGGAGAGGTGGTTGAGGGGGCTGGATGCAAGACAACCTGGAAGAAGTGGTGAATGAGGGGGGAAAGAGGAGGGAGGGTAGAGCTAGAGAGGGTAACAGGGGGCGGTGCACCAAGGATACTGTCACGTGACCTGGTGTGAGGATACCGGGTGAGTATGGTGCGAGGAGTGGGGGAGGGAGGTGAGGGTTGGGAGGGAGGGGGAGGAGGGGCACCAGGGGAGGAGTGAGCGGGGGAGACAGGGGGTCCGGGTCAAAGATGTCACCAGACGAGAGGGGGGCACCGTGGGACTGGGAGGGCGGAAGGGGAGGGGGTGGGAGGATGGGGGGAGGAGGGAGGAGAGGGGGAGGGTGGTGTCAGACCAGACAAGGGGACGAGTCAGAGGTGGGAGTGGGTTAGTGGACGAAAGAGAGGAATAGTACGGGGTGGATTCGTCGAAGACGACATCTCTGCTGCGAATTAGTCGACCGGAAGGGGGGTGGAGGAAAAGATAGTCGGGGGAAGAGGGGTTATGACCAAGGAAGATGCATGGAAGGGTACGAGGGGCTAGCTTTCCCAGGGAACGGGATCGGTCAGACGGGTGAATGAGGACATATGCCTTTGAGCCCCAGACTCGAACAGGGGAGACATCGGGTTTGTCCTTGGTCCATAGCTCAGTGGGGGTGGTGGAGGGGAGGAGGGGGTGAGGGTAAAGGTTAGTAAGGAGGGCGGCATGAAGGAGGGCATAGCCCCACAGAGAAGGGGGGCATGAGGCGTGGACAAGAAGACACCGAGCAGTTTTGGTGATCTCCCGAACACGGCTCTCAGCGACACCGTTCTGCTGTGGGGAGTGTGGGAGGGTGTAAGTCTGAAGAATGCCGCGGGATTGGCAATAGGAGGAGATTTGGTTGTTAAGGAACTCACCACCACCATCAGAGTGGAGGCGGCGAACAGGGCGCCCAAAATGGGTGTTCGCTTGTTCGAGCCAGGCAATGATCGCAGTCGGGGCGTCCGCCTTCGTTCGAAGAAGAGAGACGGATGAGTAACTACTGTGATCATCAACGAGCACGAGAAGGTAGCGATGGCCCTGGCGAGTGGGAGAGGGATTAGGGCCCTAGAGATCCATGTGAACAAGGTCAAGTGGCTGGGCAGCAGCGGAGGGGGAGCTCCAGTGCGGCTGCTGCTTGAGCTTGCTCTGAACACAGACGGCGCAAGGGGGGGCAGGGGATTTGGGTAGGGGAGGGAGGGAGGAGGGGAGACCGTGGAGGAGACCGGAGGAGACAGAGGAGCACAGAGTAGCGAAGTTGGGGTGACCTAGCCTGTGATGGAGGAGGATGGCAAGGTGAGAGAGGGAGCGACATGTGTAGTCAGAGTCAGGGGGGCGGGGGCGGACGGGTGGGTTAGTGGGAGGGAGGGGAGGAGGGGGAGGGAGGAGGGGAGGGGAGGCAACTTGGAAGGTGAGGGGGCGGGGAACCCGAAGGGTGTACAGACGGGAGCGGGGACAGTAGGGAATGCGAGAGAGGAAGCGACCTATGGAGGTTTAGTAAAGGTCACAATGGTTAGCACCACCTGGGGTGACAGTGGTGATCATGGATTGTTGGAGGGACCTTTGGGAGAGGAGGTTGGTGCGAAGGGAGGGACTGTGAAGACCTGTGACGCTTAGTTCAGAAAGACGCGTCCTGCGTCCTGGACGCATGCGTCCAGACGCAGGACGCTGAACCTGGACCTGTAAGACGCACCAAAAGACGCAAGCCCGGGCAGGGCAAAAAAAACCCCCGGGCAGGCCAAAAAAAGTTGTATAGGGCTTGGAGAGGGGGGGGGGGGGGAGGGGCATACCACAAAATTTTCCCAAACAACAAGATTTTCCCCCAAAATATGAGTTTAAGGTGAGTCACGTGTCACACATTTCACAAGGTCTCCGCCTTGCAGTCGAACGCCTCCTGGAAAACCGCTCCACTGGCGTTGATGAAGACGACGTTCATCTGCGCGCGCCCGCTCTTGTCCTTCATCATATCGCTCGCGATCGTCACGCCGGTCTCCTTCCACGACTTCGTAATGGGCGACAAACCCTTCTCAATCTGCTGCTTGCACGCCAGCAACCCGGCGCCTCCAACGTAGCCCACCTTGGGCGGAACGTAGCCGGCACCGGCGGCGCTAACGGCGCGCAGCATGTTGAGGAAGAGGGGGTGCTCGCTAATGACCTCCGCCGAGCGCGTCCCCGCGACGAAGAGGCAAATCGCATCGTCAGCCGCACGCTTCGCCGACATCCCCCCCTCGCCATACCAATGCTCCATCCGCCCCTTCTTTGCCTTCGGACCCGCTCCGCCTTGGCCGCCCACCGACGTGAGCGCCTCCTCCATAGCCCTCTCCTTATCTTTACGCGCCGTCTTCTTCGTTTCCTTCGTGTTGCGAATGGCGTCGGAAACGCGCTTAGGAACATCCGCGCACACAACTCCACCATCGCGCCGCACGTTCGCGTCATCCCAAACGGCGAGATGCTGAGTGCATCGGCTACTACTAAGAGCAAACGTTTTTCCGCACCAAAGGCACTCACACTGCTTCCCTAGCTTGGCGGGATCATCGAACGTCCAAAAATGCCTATAAATATTGTGATCGGGTTTATACGGTTTTTTCTCCACCCCTTCCTTAGTGTAACGCTGGGGGGGAATGTCTACGGCGGCATCAGAAAAACTCCTAGACGCGGTGGAAGAAGAAGGAATGCTCGAGGAAGCCATAGCGGAGTTTAGGTGGTAAGCTATGCTAAATGTGTTTGTTGGTGGAGGCCCACCAAGGTTGGGATTTCTAGATGCTAAGGGGTTGAGAGGTTTGAGTGAAATTCAAAATTTGTTGAGTTGTTAGGGAATGTTAGGGGGGCTGGTTTAGAATGTCGAATTGGGCTTAGGGGTGGGAAATTTCGCGATTTCGACACTCGCGCCGAAATCGCACATGCCAAAAACGCGATCCGGAAAAAAAATAAATTTCGGGCAGCCCGAGAAAAATTTCGAGGAGCGTCCTGCGTCCGGACGCGCGTCCTGCGTCCTAGCGTCCGGACGCAGCGTCCGGACGCAGGACGCTGCGTCCCTCCAGCGTCTTTCCGAACTAAGCTGTGACGGTACCTGAGGGAAAGAGATGACATGGAAGGGTGGACGTGTTGTGACAGGGGATGGAAAAGCTGCTATCAGCGCCGAGGAGGGACGTGGGTGTGGGGAGAGGATGGAGTGTGCCGGCATCTCGAAAGACATTGTTAGTGGCTCCACTGTCCAAGACGAACTCAAGGGTGGAGGAAGGTGAGGCGGAGTACTGGATTGAAGTTTCATTAATAGCAGGGGCATACATGGGGGATGAAACAAAAGGAGGCTGACTAAGCAAACCAACAAAGCTAGAGGAGGGAAAGGGGGTGACACTACCACCTGTAGACGGCGCAGGGGATGGACCGGAAAGGTGGGCCGCGGAGGCCGCATTCTCGGCGGTCCAGCTGGGAAACAGCTGCTGCTGGGGGACAGGAGGAGGAGGGAGGAGAGGAAGCTGGGGCTGGAGGTCGAGCTGCTGTTGGAGCTGTTGGAGCTGCTGCTGGAGCTGTTGAAGCTGCTGCCCGTACTGCTGCGGCCCCTGCTGCTTGACAATCTGGTGTTGGTGCTGCTGTTGCTGCTGCTGCTGCTGTTGGGAGGGGAGAGCAAAGGCCTGGTGGGCCTGGGAGGAGGAGGAATGGGCGTAGAGGGGAGAGGTGCGGACATCCAGGGGAGTGGGGCGGGGGTTGAGGGCGGACCAGCGAGGAGGGGTGCCAGAGTTCCCACGAGCGAACCACTCATCGCTGAGTCCCTTGAAGCACGTCTCAGTCGCATGAGTGGTTTGATTGCAGCGTTGGCCTCGGGTGGGGCCATAGAGGGGAAGATACTGACAGGGTGGGAAGGCCGCCACTGCACCACGACCCGCACCACCACGACCGCCAGAGCCGCCTCGACCACCACCACGCCCACCTCCACGCCCCCCCCCACGCCCCCCTTTGCTGCTGCGCTGCTGTGCTGCTGCGGCAGTGGAGGAGGAGTGGCGCAGGATTTCAGCTTCAGTGGTGATGATCCATTGCGCAACTTGAGCGGGAGTGTCATGCTTGGAGAGGAGCTGCATGTATGCCAGCTTATGGGCATCGAAGGCAGGAGTGAGACCCTCGAGAAGGTGGCAGCAGATGACGGTGTCAGGGTAGACAACACCGAGCGCTGCAAGGCGGCGAGCGAGGTCAAGGACTCGACGAGTAAAGGCAGCTGCACCGGCGGTGGAGTCCATGGTGATGGATCCGAATTCCTTAATGAGTGCATAGAGAGTGGCGATGTCCTGGCGGTCAAAGAGGTCGACTAACAGTTGCCACAGGTGGGAGGAGGAGGTGGGGGAGAGCTCTCGTTTGAGGGAGGAGGGGATGGTGGCGAGGAGGATAGTGAGGGCGCGACGATCAGCAACGCGCCACGCTGCGATATTAGTGGTGTAGGTGGTAAGGCGGGTAGTGTAAGTGGCGAACTGGGCTTGGTATTTACGGTGGCGGGCAGCAGCACTGTCGTAGATGCGCTTGTCATCGTCGTAGCGCAGTTGGCGGCGAAGGTGGTCGTTGAGTGAGGTACGATAGGCACGAATGGCAGACTCCACGCTTTGTAGGTTGTGAACATCTTTCGCGAAGGAGGGGGGATCACCAGGAGGCTCGGGTTCGGGTCCGGGCTCATCGGGAACAGGTCCAGTGGGGGCGGAAGGAGCGATGGGCTGGAGTCCACCCTCCTCCAGGAACACGATGGAGCGAAGGGTATATCCGTTGACGATGACCGAGGAGAGCAACACCTCGACGGAATGAGCATAGGAGTGCCAGTTGGCAGCCGAGTTGTCGCCCAGCAGCTCGAGAGCGTCAATGGTCACTAGATCGACCGATGAGTCCGACGACGCCATGACGGCGGAGTGGTGGAGGCGCCGCTGCTGATGCCGCTGCTGCCGGTGCTGGTGCCGCTGCTGCTGCCGCCGCCGATGCTGCTGCCGTCTCCGATGCTGCTGCTGCTGCCGCCGCCGATGCTGCTGCTCCTGCCGCCGCTGCTGCCGCTGCCGGTGCTGCTGCTGGAGCCGCCGCTGGAGCCGCTGCTGCTGCCGCCGTCGATGCCGGTGCAGGTGCCGCCGTTGCTGCCACTGCTGGTGTCGTTAAGGGTGGAGTAGGGGGAGGAGGTAGGGGGGGGGAGAGAGGCTAGTGCAGAAGTGTGTGGAGGGGCGCGGGTGTGGGGCAGGACAGGGGGAGGAGGGAGGATTAGGGTTGCGGGGTCGTGGAGGTCGCGGGCAGCCGAACGCGACGGCGCGCAGGTCAACCGCGGCTCCGCGCCAGCCGTCCGCGTCGGCGCAGGGTCGTCGGCGGCCGCGCGCTGGCCGTCCGCGTCAGAGCGCGGCTCGTCGGCGGTCGCACGCTGGCCGTCTTCGTAAGCGCGCGGCTCGGGCGGTTGCGCGCTGGCCGTCCGCGTCAGCGCGCGGGTTGTCGGCGGTCACGCGCTGGCCGTCCGCGTCAGCGCGCGGGTCGTCGGCGGTTGCGCGCTGGCCGGCTGCGTCGGCGCGCAGGTCGCTGGCGACAGCGCGCTGACCGTCCGCGTCGGCGCGTAGGTCGCTGGTGGCCGCGCGCTGACCACCCGCGTCGGCGCGTCGGTCGTCCGCGACGGCGCGTCGGTCGTCCGCGACGGTGCGTCGGTCGTCCGCGACGGCGCGTCGGTCGTCCGCGACGGCGGGCAGAGCCGTGGGAAGGAGGATTAGGGTCGCGGGAGGAAGGATTTAGGCCGCGGGAGGGAGGATTGAGGCCGCGGGAGGGAGGATTGAGGCCGCGGGAGGGAGGATTGAGGCCGCGGAGGAGTAGATCTGAGCCGCGAAAGGCTAGATCTGAGGTGCGGGAGGGCGGATATATGTCATAATCCGCTAGGGTAGAGGAGCGGGGAGTAAAAATCAGTCTAAGGATCGAGAGAGGACGGCGTGAGCCATTTGGCTCTGGATACCATGATAGAATTCAAGAGTATGATTGGTAATGAGCCAACAAGGCTCTATAATACAAGCATGCAAGGAAGAGAAGGTTGGAGGAGGAGCTAACCCTATTGGCCACTAAGTTGGCCAATGGGTGAGGTGCCTTGTGGAGTAGGCAACCTCACAGTGTGGCTAGGTTGGGATTGGTTGGTCTAAGGACCAAAAGTTGGCAAGTGCCAACCAAGGGCCAAGACCAAATCCAATCTTGACCAAATCCAATCTTGACCAACCACAAAGTGTGGTTGGAGTGTACACCCAACCCCCCAAGAAACTGAAGGACTACACCTATTCTAGCCTATGAATGTTGTATATAGTGGACAATTACAACATGGCATGGCATGGCATGGCATGCACATGACTGCTTGTTCGGGGTGATCGACACGCAGAGGCTGCTGGAGTGGATTGAAGCTCTGTTCATGGCATGGATGTGAGTGGCGAGAGTGCAGTGCAAGCACGTGTACGCATGGCATGCACATGAGATGAGATGCTCATGACTGCAGCATGCACACGAGTATGCTGCTGGAGTGGATGTGAGTGCATCTCTCCCTGCCTCCCTGCCTCCCTGCATCCATCCATGCACCCCCCTTACAGTACCTGCGCATGTACGATGCAGGGGGCATGGATGATAGTGGGCATCAGATGTACTAGATAAGTTACCTTCTGCACCATGCCCCCATGCCCCCATGCACCCATGCCCCCCAGTATCTACGCATGTACGATGCAGGGGCCATGGATGATGACGTCATGGCAGCTCTGAGGCCGTACCTGAGGGCGGGCATCATGGATATCACCGACATCAGAGGGGCAGCACTCTATGACACATGGAGCTATGCGCAGGTGGGTAAGGCTGAGTTGAGATGGGGGGGGCGAGATGTGTGTGTGTGTGTGTGTGTGTGTGTGTGTGCGCGCGCACGCGCGTGCGTGTGTGTGTGTGTGTGTGTGTGTGTGTGTGTGTGTGTGTGTGTGTGTGTGTGTGTGTGTGTGTGTGTGTGTGTGTGTGTGTGTGTGTGTGTGCCGGGGGGGGGGGGGGGGGGGGGGGGGGGGTGGGCACACATAACCATGACGGCACTCTTGGACGCCCTATCGCAGGGCGGGCATCACGGATATCACTGATATCAGAGGACCAGCGCTCTATGACACGTGGAGCTATGCGCATGTTGGTGTGTGGGGGGGAAAAGGGGTAAATGGGGAAAGGAGGAAAAGGGGGGGAAAGGGGTAAATGGGGAAAGGAGGAAAATGGGGGGAAAGGGGGGGTTGGCCATCATCACATCATCTCTCATCCGACTCACAAGCATACCATCTAATACATCACCCCAAGCTTGTGCGTAACTCGATCACCGATGTGAGTGTCGTCCATCGCACAATACAGAAACAGCCCGCGCCCTGCCCTTACCTGCGGAGGGTGGGCGGACGCAGTCCTCCCTTGCCCTACCCATGCTCCCTCACAGGCGCTCGCACACTTGTTCCTCCTGCCCTGCGTCCGCCCACCCTCCCCTTGTGCGCAATGGCAGGTTCTCATGGTGAACGACTGTGCTCTCAGGTCTCGACAACTCACCCGGTAACTTCCGTCGCCCTTTCTCTCCCTCACCCTCTCCCTCACCCTCTCCTTCACCCTCTCTTTCACCCTCTCTCTCACCCTCTCTCTCACCCTCTCCCTCACCCTCTCTCTCACCCTCTATCTCACCCTCTCTCTCACCCTCTCTCTCGCCCCTCTCTCACCCCCTCCCTCATCCCCCCTCGCATCCTCTCTGTCTAGCGTCCCACCGATCCATCGCTGTGAGGATAAAATTGTCGGTAAACTTAACTTGCTAAGTATTCAGATTTCAGCTCAATTGCTTTCCAGCGCATTCACGTGGTGGAGCCACATGCACACAAGCCACCCATCCACGTGTCCTCCACATGCGTCCCATGTGTGTTCCATGAATGCCCTGCGTGCCGTATCTCCCCCACCAGACGGATTTTCATCATGTACTTGGACGAGTACATTCACCCATTCATGTGGATTCCATGCATGTGTCTCGCATGTGTCTCGCATATGTCTCGCTCACACATGTCTTGCAAATTGCAATGAGGTCCACGTTTCCCCACCCATCAGGTGGGTGCTATTCATGGACGTGCAAGAGTGCATGCACGTGATGGAGCTGCCCCACTCCAGCGATGGCACTCGCACCACACCATGTGTTCCATATCCCCTCCCTTCCCCCCACCCACTAGATGGGTGCTATTCATGGACGTGCAAGAGTGCATGCACGTGGTGGGGTCACCACACTCAAGTATCTGCCATCCATGCGCCTACCGTGTGCCTTCCATAGGCATCGCATTCCATGTCAGCTGGGTGCTCGTCCGTGCCCTCTATGTCCCCCCACCCATCAGGTGGGTGCTATTCATGGGCGTGGGCGAGTGCATGCAAGGGGTGGAGCTCCCGTCCATGTGTGTGCTATGTGTCCCATCCATGCCTATTTCGCCCCTCCCTCCTCCCCCATCAGGTGGGTGCTATTCATGGGCGTGGACGAGTGCATTCACGTGGTGGAGCCATGTCAGTCTCCTCCTATCCATGTGTGTGCTACGAGTGCCATACATACCATATACCCCCTCCCTCACAGGTGGGTGCTATTCATGGACGTGGACGAGTACATTCACGTGGTGGAGCCGCCTCACTCGCTGCTCGTCTTTCTCAACTCAGTGCCCGCCATTCCCTGGCTCTCCTTCGGATCCCTCACCTTCCCCCTCGACATCTGCGGCAAGATACAGGTGTGTGTATACTATACCCTCTGTGTGGCTTTTCTATACCCCTGCCCGGGTTTATGCCCCTGCCAACCCCCCTTCCTACACCCCTCTCAACCCCACTCAACTCCTTCCTTTGCACCTGCCAACCCCACTCAACCCCTTCCTCTCCACCTGCCAAGGCACTACCGCATTCAACCTTCCTCTGCACCTGTCAAACCCACTTAACCCCTTCCTCTGCACCTGCCAAGGCACTACCGCATTCAACCCTTCCTCTGCACCTGCCAACCCCACTCAACCCCTTCCTCTGCACCTGCCAAGGCACTACCGCATTCAACCCTTTCGTAAACCCCTGTCAAACCCACTCAACCCCTTCCCATACAGGAGGCGGGGTGGGAGCCATGGGCAGTGGAGCAGCTGGTGTTTCGCGAGCCGGTGCCGCACTGCAAGGAGCCCACCAAGTACTACAGGTGAGTTTGCTTTGCTTCTGCTGCCAGGTTGTTTTTCAGGTGAATACAGCAGAAAGTGAGTATGCATTGCAAGGACCCCACCAAGTACTACAGGTGCGGTTGCATTGGTGCTCAGGTAGTTCTTCAGGTGAATTCAGCACAAGTGTGAGTGGCATGGCGCACTACAAGGAGGCCACCAAGTATTACAGGTGCGCCTGCTTTAGCTACGCAGGTGATTCCCCAGGTGAATTTAACAGCTGCGTGAGTGGACCACTAGTTGTAACGGAAGGAGCTCTCCAACACAATATGCCTCTCTATTCCAAGTGCTTCTCCAGGAGTCCCTCCAGGTGATTGTATCTCAGGTGGTTCTTCAGGTGGACATTCCACTCCAGCTCTCTGCACTCTCCCCCTCCTTTCATGATTCATCACAGTCAAGACGCATATCTCCAGTGGGACAGCCATTGAAAGTACGTGGTGAACCCTCGGGCAGCACAGGTGTTGCAAATCCACCTCTTGTACGAGCTCAATCCTACCTGCCTATGATCCCCCCCTTTTCCCCTCTGTTTACCACAGTCGTGACGCATGCCTCAAGTGGGACGGCCACCGCAAGTACGTGGTCAACCCACGGGCAGCGCAGGTGCTGCAGATTCACCGAGTCTACGAGCTCAACCCCGCCTATGATGCCAATGCCCCCCCTGACGCTGCTGCTGCTGCCTCTGCTCAAGCTGCCGCTGCCCTTCTGGCCACTTCCGGCAGGGAAGAGGGTAACAGTAACGAGAATGGCAACAGTACAGGAAACAGTACGAGTGTGGGTGCTTTTAGTGGGTCAGCTTTTACAGGGAAGCTGATTCCTGTTGACGACGTGCAGGGACTGCTTATAGGGAGTACAGGCGGTGGGTTGAATCTACATACAAACATTATAAGGGTGAATCACTACAGGGGGTTGGGGATTAGGTATGTGCCTATGTGTCGCCAGATTATTGCTCTCTCCTTGCCGGCGCCCAAGGGTGTTGTGAGGGACATCAATCTTGCCAGAATTGCGGTTGCTTCTAGATTGCGTTCCTTAGATGCTGCTGCTATATAGGAAACGTGGTGCCTGTTTTGTGTGTATTGTACGCAGACGTTGTCCCAGTTGATTACCTAAATATGGATTATGAAAGCACCTTTGGTTTCCCCAGCTGGTTATGTTCCCAGTCAATTCCTCTTGCCTTGAAGTAGTAATTTATGTAATAAAAGTTTCTCGTTATGGAGAGTGTAGTGGCCATAATGTTATAGATGCTTGTACCCGATGAACCCCCCTGTCGAGCCATCGCTTTGTGAAGCGGAACGGCTGTGAGTACCGTATATGCCACTTGGCTTTTCCTGTGTCTGCATTTTTCCTAGGAGCACGGCGCTCATGGTTCTTCGCAGGATCACAGTGACGTTTTCGCATAAAAACTAGTCCTCCCTAGGTCATCATAGCCTTCGATCGGACGGCTGATCCTTGCTGATCACAACGAAAGCCGTTACGGTTCTGAGTAGATTCCACGCGTCCGCGTGCTCCAGCACAGCATAGACCGTTGATGCTGCATAATCTGTCCCGTCTGACACGCGTTGCTTCGGCTGTGTGCTACTGACCGCTAACCATGCCACCGTCACTTTCTCTCGCGATATCCCCGTCGGTCGATCTAGTTCCCTTGTCGCCTTTACGAAACGGGAAACTGTCGCAGACAAGCTCGTCGTCACAGTGCGCGTGCACGTCGCTCTATAATGTCACTCCCCCATCGTCGGTAGCTCAACACGGCATCAGACCATCGGCGATCCTGCGGCTAAACTTGAATCACCAGGCGTTTCAAAACAGCACAAGGCCTTCGCCAGTTCTGCAACAAAGCAAGAGGATGTCGCTGGTTGTTCGCGCGGCTGCGTGCGACGCGCAGATGTCATCCGGCGGCGGAGGAGAGTCACAGTCGTCGTCGGGAACGTCGGGATCGCAGCAGGCAACACAGCAAAAGCAATCGGCTCCCAACGGTGAGCTCAGAATGGGAAAAGTATTTATCACATAGTGATGGGTACTGTGCAATTATCTGAATCCAGGGACATGAGGCGTCGTCGTGATCGGGGTCATTGGGATCGCAGCAGGCCAGGCAGCAGAGGCAGTCCGTTCCTATTGGTAAGTCCAGAATCGATTAGAGAATCGTAATCGCCGTCGCCAGGGTCGTTGGGATCGCAGCAGGGCACACAGCAGAAGCAGTCACTCCGCTCTTACGCTGAACTGAGTGCCGGACGGCTCTTAACGGTGTGTTGAAGTAGGGAAATCTTCTGGTGGGGTCGTGAGGTGCTGTGACTGACTTTGCCTCTCTGGACACGAGGAGAGACGACGTCGTTGCCAGGGTTTTCTGGGACCGCAGCAGCAAACACAGCAGAATCAGTCCGCTCTTACGGTGAGTGGAATGTGGGAGGTATTCTGAATCTTGAGGTGCTGTCAATTGATCTGTCTCACGGGACACGAGGAGAGACGTCGTCGTTGCCAGGGTCGCCGGGATCGCAGCAGGAAGCACGGCAGAATGAGTCCGCTCTTACAGTGAACTGGACAAACAGCGAACCCTGCGATCGGCTGCCAATGATGTGAGCTCTGTGACCATTAGCTGCCAATACAGATTGAATGTCTCTTGTTGAGTCATCATAGCCGCTGCGATCCCAACAGCAGCAGGCCATGCAGCAGCAGCAATGGGTCTCGATATGGTATGTGAAATGATGGCGAGGTTATTTTTCTCGATTTTCCAGTCCATACCCTCCTGTTGTGCTTCATCCCTTCCTCCGTCTTTTCTCTCCTGTGTTTTCTCGCCCACCGTTTCCTCCATCTTATTCCTCCCTTCATTCCTCTGTGTCTCCCCCTTTCTTTGTTCCAACTCCCTCTTTCCCTTCTTCCTTTCCTTTCTCCCTTCCTCCCTCCTATCTTCCCCTCTTCCCCCCTCACGTCTTCTACGTCCATCCTCTTCTCTCCATCCCCCCTCCTTGATCCAAAGCTGCCTGATCATTTATCTGCCTCCCTCCTCCCTCTTCCTGTCGCTCCCTTCCCCTGTGTATGTGTCCCCCGCCTCCGCCTCTCAACCTTTCTCTCCATTCCCCCCTGTCTCCATGTTTACCCTCCCCTCATTCTTCTTTCCCGTCCTCCCCACCCTCCGCCCCTTCACCTTTCGAATCCCAACCTATTCCCCTCCACCCCCCCCTCCCCTCCTTGAGCTACCCTCATTGCCACATGCTCTGCTCTGCATCACTCCTGTTCCTGCCTACCATATCGCCACCATTACAAACTCACGAATCACTCTTCAACCAATCTACTCAACTTACCCTCTTTCGTTGTGCTCTTGCCCTGTTGCACTCGTGTCCCCACTGTCTCCTGCTCTGCCAGTGGCGAAGCTTGACATGGGGGGAACAGGTTTTCCTCCTCGGGATGACGATGGGGGTGGTGGAGGAGGTGGGGGCGGTGGTGGCCGGTTCTGGTGGGGCTTTGGTTTCTGGTCAGTGCTGCTGCTGCTTTCCTTTTTTAAAGATCGAGACGAGAAAAAGGGACGGTCAGGGCGTAGAGCATATTAAGGTTGTGCTGAGATTTTATGAGCAGATTATGCATTATAATAGCAATGCTGAATGCTTGAAAGGAGTTGCATAATGGAAGTGGTGCTTCCTGTATTCTTCTTCCAAGTTCATACCAGAGAGAATTTCTCCAGACCCGGAAACGATGATTTGCCGTTGCACACGTGGCGTCGAATTGCTACCGTGGTCGGACAATTAGATGATAATTGCGGTCTTGCCAGAGGTTTCCTCTGGCTTTTTTTTTATCCGGCACATTACCCAAAACCGGTTTTTAGCCCTGCTTTTCTTACGTCGTTCGTGTCTCTTCCCGCAAAAACGTGGCGTGTGATTTTCCACCCGAATTTTTCGGCTGGGTGACGTGGGCGAGGGCGGCCACGTCACCGTTTGAATACACGACAATAATCAACACGATCATCTTGGGCGAACAGTTGCGCTCATTTTCGGTCCAATTCTTGACCAATCCGCGCATAGAGATATGAATCCCCGATCATATACTCAGTTGCACGACTGTCCACACGCGCGACCAATTACAGAGCGCGTCTGATTGGTCGACTTTATGCACGAAGTACTTTTTTACCTTGCGCGTCCAATCAGGCGCGGTCATGTAAGATCGCGCTCATATAAAACCGCGCATTTACCTATATGAGCGCGCATATGTGGTGCTCGAATGTGTATGCGATCTGTTTTATTAATATAAAACTATATTAATAACATCGAGAGACGTTCACTACCGGCGTTTTGCCATTGTATCTATATAACACTGTGCGTTACGTTCATTTAGCAGTCATAGGGTTTATTGTATCTCTAGGCATGTCGGCCTCTACGCATGCCTACAATAATTTACGTAGATTTGATGTGTACTGAGCACGCAATGTCATGTTGACCATACGTTGACACATGACATGACATTGCGTGCTCAATACACTTCAAATCTACGTAAATCATTGTAGGCATGCGTAGAGGTCGACATGCCTAGAGATACAATAAACCCTATGACTGCTAAATGAACGTAACGCACAGTGTTATATAGATACAATGGCAAAACGCCGGTAGTGAACGTCTCTCGATGTTATTAATATAGTTTTATATTAATAAAACAGATCGCATACACATTCGAGTGAGAAGAAGTGAACGAGAATGAATGAACTATGAATGAAGTGAGTACAAATATGAAACCCTAATTGGGTTGTACCCCCTATGGGATACCCCACTATAGCCTACACAAATAAGTAAGCTATAATGTTCTAACACACCCCCATAGGCAAAGTGGGGGAGAACAAGGGGTCACAAGACCAGTCAAGCAAAGCAAAGCAAAGCTTAGGGTGGATCACAAAGTCACCACACATTCCGAGCACAAGTTCAAGGGCCACAAGGCCTGTTCACATGCAAGATCATATATATAGAGATATACAAGAGTCAAGCAAGCAAGAGCAAGAGTATATATAGGTCAAGGTACAAGCAAGGTCAAGAAGTGAGCAAGTGAGGCAAGACAGGCACAAGACCCAGCTGCGTGCAGCAACGCTGATGATCACAAGGCGCAAGTGCCTTGGTGAAGACATCAGCAGTGTTGGCCTCAGAGGCCACGTACGCAAGTCGCAACTGTCCACGCTGCTGTAGCTCACGAGCAAGAAAGTAGCGGAGAGCAATGTGCTTTGTTCTGTGCTCCAGTCGCTGCTCTCGACAGAAGGCCAGCATGGCCTTCTTGTCTACGTACAGGACTGGAGGAGAACGAGGCGGCTCTCCAAGGTCGGTCAGCAGGTAGGTGAGCTAGCGAAGCTCCTGAGCAGCCATAGCCCCGGCGTAGATCTCAGCCTCACAACTGGAGCCGAGAACAGAAGACGAGCGAGTAGCCCGCCACGAAACAGAGCCGGAACCAAGGCCAAAGGTGTAACCCTGTGACGACCGCTGCGTAGCCTGGTCGTCAGCCCAAGAAGCGTCCGCGTGCTCAGTGAGGACCACTGGACTCCGCCCTCCAAGCACTAGCCCCATGCCCGACGTACTGCACAAGTAGCGCAACACCCTCTTCGCCGCAGCCATGTGCTCTGGTCGGTGTCTCCCAGGAGCAACATAGCGTGCGAGAATGCTGAGAGGGTATGCAAGGTCAGGTCGTGTGCAGGTCATCAGGTACATGAGGCAGCCAACAAGCTCTGCATACGGGCCACTCGACTCTACGGACTCATCCGAAGGCAGAGCTGAGAGCGAGTGGCGAGTAGGCAGAGGAGTGGCCTGAGGCGAGGAGTACGTGAAGCCGAAGCGCTGAAGGACCTGCTGCACCATGTGTGACTGAGTCAGGGTAATGGTGCGGCGTGCTCTGTCCCGGGTGATCTGCAAGCCAAGGTAGCTGCGCAGTTCACCCAGGTCAGTGCACGTGTGTCTCTTCTGCAGCTCGGACTTCACGTAGGCGAGTCCAGCAGTGTCAGCTGTGGCAAAGACCAAGTCGTCGACGTACACGAGGATGTAGAACGGCGGCAGAGAGGTGTCGGTGCGCAGAAACAGCGACGGGTCGGCAGT